TGAAAGGTATAGTTATGAAATATTGAGTGTTTTATTGCTCTGCTTTGTGAACAGCTTTGTCCGACACTCATGTTTGAGAAGGAAACTGCGTTGCTGCTGGTCCACACTGATGTCCACTCCATTCCTCTCCCCTCCAAGAGTCTGTTTAACAAATACAGCAATGAAACAGCCCTGAAAGGAGCGGCTTGGCAAAAATCTAGTTGTCACAAACTGTCTAGTTGGTTGTACTGGGAGGGGTTTTAGTTGCACTGGGAGGAGTTATGGTTGTACTTGGAGGGGTTTGGGTTGTACTGGGAGGAGTTACAGTTGTACTAGCAGGGGTTTGGGTTTTGGTTGTACTGGGAAGAGTTTCAGTTGTACTGGGGAGGTTTGATTGTACTGGGAGGAGTTTCAGTTGTACTGGGAGAAGTTTCAGTTGTACTGGGAGGGGTTTTGGTTGTATTTGGAAGGTTTTGGTTGTACTGGGAGGGGTTTTGGTTGTACTGGGAAGAATTTCGGTTGTACTGGGATGAGTTTCAGTTGTACTGGGAGGGGTTTTGGTTGTACTGGGAGAAGTTTCAGTTGTACTGGGAGGGGTTTCGGTTGTATTTGGAAGGTTTTGGTTGTACTGGGAAGAGTTTCAGTTGTACCGGGAGGGGTTTTGGTTGTACTGGGAGGAGTTTCAGTTGTACTGGAAACGGTTTTGGTTGTACTGGGAGGGGTTTTGGTTGTACTGGGAGGAGTTTAAGTTGTACTGGGAGGGGTTTTGGTTGTAATGGGAGGAGTTTGAGTTGTACTAGAAGGAGTTTTGGTTGTACCAGGAGGGTTTTGTTTGTATTGGGATGGGGTTTGGTTGTACTGGGGGGTTTTGTTTGCACTGGGAGGAGTTTCAGTTGTACTGGGAGGGCTTTTGGTTGTACTGGGAGGAGTTTCAGTTGTCCTGGAAATGGTTTTGGTTGTACTGGGAGGGATTTTGGTTGTACTAGAAGGAGTTTTGGTTGTACCAGGAGGGTTTTGTTTGTATTGGGATGGGGTTTGGTTGTACTGGGAGGGGGTTCGGTTGTACTGGGAGGGGTTTTGGTTGCACTGGGAGGAGTTTTAGTTGTACTGGGAGAAGTTTCAGTTGTACTGGGAGGGGTTTCGGTTGTATCTGAAAGGTTTTGGCTGTACTGGGAAGAGTTTCAGTTGTACCAGGAGGGTTTTTGGTTGTACTGGGAGGGGTTTTGGTTGTACTGGGAGGAGTTTGAGTTGTACCAGAAGGAGTTTTGGTTGTACTGGGATGGTTTTCGGTTGTATAGGGATGGGGGTTTGGTTGTACTGGGAGGGGGTTCAGTTGTACTGGGAGGGATTTTGGTTGCACTGGGAGGAGTTTCAGTTGTACTGGGAGGAGTTTTGGCTGTGCTGGAAGGAGTTTTGTTTGTACTGGGAGGGGATGTGGTTGTGGAATGTGTCTTGGAGAGACAATGCTATAACATTGTGGCTCAAATGCGTCTCAGTCCACCTCCTGAAGAGGTCAGAACGATCAGATCTGTTTCTGTTTTAAATGCTTACACTTGCATGTTCATGTGGTTTGGCCTTATCCAGATATAATCCTGATACTCAAGCTGTATCCTAGGTCATTATGTCCTAAACCACACTGACAGATCCGCGTGACCTTAATGAAGACCTGGATGTGGTTTGATCAGGTTGAGAGAGTGTTTTGGGGATGTATTTGTGGAAAAGATCTGAGTGACCATTGGCTACTGTTTGCTAGCTTCATTAGTGCAAAGAATGCCTTGGATGACCAGCCGTTCTTTGGTGATGAGGACGTTGGAGTTCATGGCTCGTCCTGTAGCTTACATACGGTAATACGTTAGGGAGTTTATTTTATGTAAAATATTTCTATTTATTGTCAGCTCAGTTTTGAGCTATCGAAAGCAGATTTTGTGAATAATAATGGTGTATTTTCCTTATTTCATTGTAGTTTTTATGCTTAGTATGTTAAATCAAAAGCATAAATGAAACAGCAAATAAAAAAAATAAAAAAAATTCTTCTGGTTTTCTGATTCAGTTTTGGCCAGCAATTTTCATTTCGGCGCATCACCATTAAAAACAGTATTGAAACGGAGAGCTGGGCTTAGAAAATAACAGGAAAACATACTTTGCTGTCAGAGTCACTGAGCACATAAACCAATCATGAGCTTCTGGTGGCTGGTTTATCCTGGGACAGTGTAATAATCCAGTCAGTGAGGCTACTGTCTGTTATACCTAATGTCATTATGCAGCAGGTGGAACAGGCAGCTGCAGACTGTAAGGCTGGAGGTACAGAGCCAGGCTCCTAATGTCACTACTGAGTAAATACACCAAGTAGTGCAAGTCATACAGACACATACAGCATGATGGGACACTATAACATACAGCAAGCATACAGAATAGCACAGATGGAAGGTTAGTTTTTTGTCTTTTTTACTTTTTTTCTGGGGAAAGAGGCACGGTTCTCGAGAAAAAGGCCATTCCGTGATTAGAGAAGACTGCGGCTCATGAACAAACAGCAGCGTGACTGAGAAACACCAGAGCATAGCAGCGTGGCAAGAGCTTTCCTTCCACACACACACAGGAGGAGTCTCCACAGAGGGAGACAGATAGTAAGACAGATAGACGAAGAGAAAGCAGAAAAGGAAGAGAAATAGGGGAAAAATAAAACGACACGCACCATAAAGCAAAGCCCTTGCAAATAAGCTTAGATTGAGCACACAGTTCACAAAGACAAGAGCAAACTCTAAAGCCTTTAGCTGCAATGATGAATCTTAAAGATTTCTTCTGCAAAATAGTCACGAAAAGATGAAAAAAAAAATGAAGAAAACCTTTTTTCTCAGCCTGTTATTAGGAAGTGTTAGTAGCAGAGGTCAGAGGTCAGCAGAGGTTGAGCCTACACTAACACCAATAGCTGCTGTTGTTATTACTCTTGATATTTTCTATGGCCTTTATTGGTTCTCAGGATCGGCTCAGGTGGAAAAGGCTTAAACATCGTGTGTTTCGCGTACGACCGAGCATCGTAAATTAAAAAACAACGCCGAAATCACTTTTAGAAAATGTTTCGACACAGTTGTGTTGACAGGGGCCCAGACCAGGGGTCTGCCTCACAAAGCACGTTCAAGTGATTAAGTTTCAGCTCCACAAAATCGGCAGTCAATTTGCATTTCTGCGACTGCAGTTAACGACTTTCTATGTTAAGCCAAGTTTAGATACACAGGCTGTGATAACGAGCGGCTTACTTTTCAAAGAAGGAGAAATAAATCATACTACATAAATACAGCTGTATGCAGATGTGTGGATACCTCCCGTCAAATAACATGTTTTGTTGAAAATAGGTCAACACATCCTCTATAGGAAACTTAAACATGACATTTTTCTGCAAATTTTAGTGCAAAATTGCTAATTATTTGTTTAACATATTGAGAAAAAATAAAACATAAAACATAAAATGTGCCATTACTTTGGCACAGGCCACATTGTATGTCCTAGTTTCCGCCAATATGTTAAATTCAGCAAATACACAGTAAATAATATCGTATTAAAGGGGACCTATTATGTTCATGATTTTAGATCTGGGGTCTACTGGAATAGATTTACATGCTTCAATGTTCCAAAAACACATTATTTTTCTCATATTTTTGTTATCTTTATTCACCATTTGTCTTAAATATGTCTTTAAGCTCCGCCTCCTGATGAGTCTATTGTGCTCTGATAGGTCAGCTCAATCGCTCTAATCAGATTGAGGGCGGTTCTGCCCCTACATGTTCCACCCCTGTCTTGCAGTCTGCAGACAGACCCTTTTCTCCTAAGCAACTGTAAATTCCGTTCTCCAGCGGCGTCGGTTCTGCTGTATCAGTTTGATCCAGAGTCCATCCTGAAAGTCCAGTCAGCGTCTTCTCCACACGGCTACAGCACTGAACACACTCTTCCTCCTTCAGTAGCTGCTGTGCGCTGTGTGAGGGTGAACTGAGCTTGCATCATCTTGTAACAAAGGAAAAATGACTAGACGAGGCGGCTGAGAAAAGTGGGTTCTGTGGGAGAGAGTTTCTCCCTCTGGGGTGAACTACATGCACAAAAAACCTACATAACACACTAAAGGAAAGGGAAAAACCAGAAAAGCATAACAAATCCCCTTTAAAATGTGCAGAAGTGTGTTCTCTGTAGAGGATGTGTTTACTTATTTACACTTAGAAAATAAACCAAAAAAGAACTCATTTGACCAGGGGCGCCCATACTTTTGCATACGACTCTTTGTAGAAAGCAAGCCTCCACTGCTCAGGGCTTATTGGGATAATAATTGCTTTACATTGTTCGTATCTATGTAATACAATTTGTGTCCTTTGCTGAAAAGTATCATTTTTCATGTGATGGACACCACAAATTTCACAAAGGAAAAAAAAGTGACCCAAAAAGTGACCAGCAGGGTCCACCTCCATCAGAAGGCTGTCCCTGATTGGTCTGAAGCTCGCCCTGATTGGCCCAAGAGCTGTTTTTGATCCAGATCTTCCTGATCTTAACTGGCCATGGAGCAGGTTAGACATGCGGTAGTAGTTGCCATGGCGACATAGCCCTATAAAATGTGATGTCATGACACTGAAAATCCAGGATTAGATCAGCTGTCCTAGGCTTAAAGTTAGCTGGCTAAGCAAGGAATCCTGCTTCGCCCCAAAATCCCAAATCTCTCTTATACAAATGAACAAACTGCCATTCACTCTCAAGACTTAACTTCTCTGTTCGGCTCCATGAGGACGGATCAGCTGAAGCGTTCTTGAGAGCGTGGTTTGGCCTGGACTTTGTGAATGGGATTCAATGAATAAATGAACTCTTGCCAATTAACCTACAAAGAAAATAAATAAATAAAAATACATTTATAAACAATCGAACACTGACAAACAAACAGATGACGGTGTGTCGATGCCTTAGCCTGTTGCACCTGCTCCAACCCAGAGTGTCCTCCTTGTTTCCGTGGCGACTCAAGGGTTAGAGCTGAAGGGTAAGAGGTCGGGGTCACATGAGGACGTTGGCGCGGGTGTCCGGGAGTCGCAGTCCGACGAGGCCGCCGCAGACCAGCACGCTTGAAGCCAGCAGGATGGGGATGGCTTTAGTGATGCCCACCAATGAGCCGAAAATCAGATTACCCAACACGGCGGCCAGCTTGCACATAGCATTACAGAACCCGAAACCAGTGCCCCTACAAACAACAGACAAACACAGAGGACAGAACAAGATCAAAGCTTAAACTGGATTCTGAATCAGAGGGCATGTGCTTGTGCTTGGGTTGGTACGCCTGTTGGCCTGGATGAGTGTGTGTGTTATGAGGTTTTTCCACCAGACAGTGCGGTACGGTTACAAATACATGATCATGAGTTGCAGTTTCCACTGTGAAGTGAACCGCACCATAATGATTTTAGTTAGCCTTCTTGCTGGGCAACCAAGCGTGCCAGGCTGGAACATATGGGTGGAGCTAAAAATAGTGGCCACTGGTCAACTGCCATCGCCACAAAAACGTCATACAATGTCACTCAGATGATTGCTGGCTAGCCAGAATTTGTTGAGGCAATAGCTCTGGCATCACAGTGCTTTGTATAGTACACAAAAATAAGTGGGACTCTACAGGAGCTACAGGTGATGGGTTTCTACAAGTGTTCATCATCACTGTTGGAACAATTAGAGATGCACCAATACCACTTTTTCCCCTGCCTTAGTATTGGCCGATACTGAGTACCGATACCGATTCTAACTCATATGTAAGTCCTGATATTTATACAGTTACACTTTCTAAATAGTTTATTTTAGTAAAATCTCTGTTCTGCCTCACAAATTAAACACAGTCAACTTGGCTAGACGCCATTTACTTGTTGGATTATATTCATTAAATGCTTAAGAAAACTTATTTTCGTTTATTTACTGCGTCTATTTTGTATTTAGTATTATATAATTAGTAATAAGAAGCATGTATAACAAATTAAATAAATGTAAAATATCTTTATTGTGCAGAACAGTTAAAAACAGAGCTGAACAGTGAACAGATAAACCTGTGGTGTTTACACATCAGCACAGCAGCTTCTCTGGCTCAAAAATGGAGCTGAATGTTTTTTTACATACAAATTTCTCGAGTCGTTTGTCTCAGACGTGCGTCTTGTTCACTCGCGCTGCGTCTCTGAGCATCAGTTCAGTAAATATCACTGTCGTTCACGCTGTCAGTATCAGCGACTTTCAGTGTTTTTCTGGCTTTTTTGAAGTGACGGGCCACAAGACCCCGCTGCTGAGTGATACAGCTGACCACCGGAGGCGCACTGCAGGCAGGGCTAGTGGACACACAGGCCTGGCTAGCAGGCTGCTACACTAAAGGCTAAATTGAGGATAAATGCTATCATTATGTATGTCTGTCTGTCCGCCCTGCGATGGACTGGCAACCTGTCCAGGGTGTATCCTGCCTTCCGCCCAATGACAGCTGGGATAGGCTCCAGCACCCCACCGCGACCCAGAAGGATAAGCGGTTTAGATGATGTGTGTATGTATGTATGCTATCATTACGCCGTTATTCCCACAATAACACTGCCATGTATGTTCACGTCAGAAGTTGCTTCGTGGTATCGGTCATATATATCAGTATCCCCATCACTGATGTCAACACTACGTTTAAGTGTCAGTATCGATGCTGATACTGATTCAGTATCGGTGCAACACTAGGAACAACACCTTGTATCTCCATAATCTGAATGTAATCTGACATAATCTGAAAACACCAGCTGCCTTTAAATTGTGTGAAACTTTAATGACAAATGGACAAATAGAAATATTTCAAAATGACCTGGAATAAAATCTCTTAAGGATGTTTTTTCCTTCTCCTGTAAAGTTACCATTTTAGAGATACAAGGTTTTGTTCTGACAGTGACGATATGTTTGTGTGTTGGCATGTACCTCCTGTCAGTGGGATACAGCTCTGCCGTGACCACGTCCAGTGAGTTCCAGGCAGATATACTCAGGCCGTTATAAAGGCAGAGCATGGCGATCATCATCGACTCACTGGTGCCGAACCACAGGAAGAAACAACTGATACCGGACAACACCATGGAACCCCCTAAACAAACAACAACAAACAATAACCTCACAGACGGTCTGATATATAGTGGGGTCATTTAGAAGGTGATTATAGAAGAATAAATGAATCAGGTCCAATATAGCATTGCTCAAAGCAGTGGTTCTCAATCCTAGTCCTGGACCACCACTGCCCAGCACTGGAGCTATGAGGCTAACGTGGCTAATAAGTACTTGTCTCAAACCCTGTCAAAATAGACGTATGACATGCTGTTATCTATAAAATAGTTCAAAACAGTCTTGAAGCCGGAGTGTTCCACACTTTCGTCCATTTTAACAGATTACCGTATGTCATACTGTGTCAAAGGAAGGGTAAATTGCCTAAAAATTGAACTATTTCTTTAATTACCTAAAAATACAGATCAGAATATGTTTCGTTATAATCACATTGTGCCCCACCCAGCATCGACAGGACTGATCAGCTTACCCAACATGCTCAAGCGCCCAACTTTGTCCATGAGGAGCGCGGAGACTATGTTGCCCGGCAACACGGCCAGGGTCCCCAGGAAGTTGATGAAGTAGACCCAGTAGGCGCTGTAGTCATCATCGAACGTGATCTGACAGCCCGTTTTATTGTGAGCGAATGTGCTGTTGATCACTGACGAACCGATGAATTTTGAGTCGTCAATATCTGTGTGAGAGGCAGGAGTGTTAGGATTATTGACACTACCTCACTGTAAAAATCATTCCAGTGCACTGGAACTTTTGTTCCCAGAAGGTTCCCACAATGCACTGTGAAAAAGAGTGAGCATCAACTGTTCACTATGCTCTCTGACTGGATATACAGCATCACACCTTCAGCTTGACCTTCGGAAAGTTTTAAAATGGAGGACGATAGCTTTTCACCTGGAAAAAATTTGGGTGGTGGGTCATTCTCAGCACTGCAGTAACACTGACGTGGTGGTGGTGTGTTAGTGTGTGTTGCCCTATTCTGAGTGGATCAGACACAGCAGTGCTGCTGGAGTTTTTAAACACCTCAGTGTCACTGCTGGACTGAGAATAGTCCACCAACCAAAAATATCCAGCCAACAGCGTCCTGTGGGCAGCGTCCTGTGACCACTAATGAAGGACTAGAGGATGACCAACACAAACTGTGCAGCAGCAGATGAGCTGTCGTCTCTGACTTTACATCTACAAGGTGGACCGACAAGGTAGGAGTGTCTAATAGAGTGGACAGTGAGTGGACACAGTGTTTAAAAACTCCAGCAGCGCTGCTGTGTCTGATCCACTCAGACCAGCACAACACACACTAACACACCACCACCACGTCAGTGTTACTGCAGTGCTGAGAATGATCCACCACCCAAATAGTCCCTGCTCTGTGAGGGTCCATGGGGGTCCTGACCACTGAAGAACAGGGTAAAAGGGGTCTAACAAAGTATGCAGAGAAACAGATGGACTATGGACAATGAGTGTAGAAACAAGGAGGTGGTCATAATGTTATGCCTGATCGGTGTATTTTTCTACCAACAGTAAGAGTTTTGATCTAGAAAGACACTTTTTCACAGTTTATCATTCATTTTCAGTTTTTTAACGACTGCTCATAGCAGCCTGTTAGCTACTTAGCTAGCAAACCAGTTACATTCCTGGTTTAACTTTACTTGTATGTTTTTGATTTTTAATATACGCCACTAAATAATACCACAGGCTATATTTATCATAATAACACAAAAAACAAGCTATTTCTCACAAGTATTGCACTTTATTTGTTCATTTATGAACAAAGCATAACATTAATGTAGCCTGACCTGCTAACCTTGCTAACAGGCTATACCTGACAGGCTAATAAGCGCCCTTCAGAACTAGATTTCAAGTTTAAATCTGTACAGAACAGATCAGATATAATGTAACCGGAACGTTAACGTCTATTCAGGTGCCAGTTGACTGTGTTTTAGCCACAGAAGCTATGAATTGCTTAGGGGAACCATGATTAGCTTGACGCTAGCGATGCTAACGGAATTAGCATTTATGCTAGCGGTGTTAATCAAAGAAAAAAGGCTTAACTGCATTAAACAATGCTGTGTGTGTGACGGACACATGGCTGTATCTGTTCTCAGTGTCAATAAGGGGAGAACCTTAATGAAGCGACTGGAATATTCCATCTTAAAGATCTCAGTATAGCTGAAGCTCAACACTGTACACTCTTTAAAAGATGGTGCTTCAAGGGCTCTTTAGTAAAGAAAATGGTTCTATATGCTGGCACCCAGGTGGTGGAACTCCCACTGGCTGTCCGTACAGCAGAGTCTCTGGTGGTCTTCAAACGCAGACTGAAGACCGTCTCTTTATACAGCACTTAAATGGGCACTGAATTAAGTATTGATTGTAATGTATTGTACTGCACTTATGTATTGTATTGTATTGCACTGCTCTGTGTTTAACTCTGTTCCTTTTCCTCTGGGTATCAATAATGACTTTCTGATTCTAGCAGTTTCTGAACTCAGACTGGCTTTCTCTCTAACCTATTGGTAACCGGCGAAGATACTTTCTCTAGATAGACAAAGCACTTTTTGTAAGTCGCTCTGGATAAGAGCGTCTGCTAAATGCTGTAAATGTAATATGTAAATGTAGAACCATGAGCACTCAGACAAGCATTTGCATGATTAAAGTGTTCCTTGCATCATGAAAGGGTTCTTCTGTTTGATGGAAAATGTGCATTTATATGCGATAGATGGTTCTATATAGAACCTTTTTGAAAAGGGTTCTTTATAGCAACCAGATGGGTTCTTCTATTCTGTTACAAGCTTGACACTGTAACAATAAAAGAACACTTTCAAGTGCTATATAGAACCATCTACAGCACATTCTCCATCAGTCTGAAGAACCATTTAATGATGCAAAGTGTTAGTTGAGTGTTGATGGGTCTATATAGAACCATTTTCTTTAATAAAGAACCCATGTGTAGATGAGTAGTCAGTGTTGCTGTTACTGTGTTGTTTGTACTGTTTTCGTGTCCCTGTCATACGCAATTGAGTCTTTAGTGTCCCAATGTTCCCACATCCAGGAAACCAGCCAGTGCACGAATTCGTATATGTACTGACTCACTACATATGAAACTAGTGAGCGAACTGAGACACAGCCTGAATCACTGACTGACTGACTGTCTGACTGGCACCCATTGTTGTAATTTGCATGCACAAACGTGGCTCAAGACAAACAGTAGGTGGAGCTATACAGCATTAAATGAAGTGAGATTGTCACCGGCACATACTCATACCCCAAATGTAGGACTGCCATACAAACAATGACAGAAAGCAAGCAAGACATTTATTAAAACAAAGATTAAAATGAAAAAGTCTTATTATTATCATCAAACCTGTAACATGCCGCCAGCAAAACTAGGTTTGCCTTATCTTGTTTCTCCACAGAGATTTTTTTCTTTGAGTACTTAAACCACAACTTTCACCTCGTTTTAAAGGAGACGGTGTTGCTTGGAGAAACGCAGCCATGGCTGCAGAATCAGCCGACCCATTTGAGGAAGTGGAGCAGGTTTCAAACAGAAATCAGTCATTTTGTTTTATTGAATCAAATAAAGTTTTGTTTCTTTTATGCTTTTTGGTGAACCAGATAGATGCTGTGATGCTGATCACAGAAATGACATGAAATTTTTTGAGAAATGTCCCAGTCTGTGATGATTATTGTTTTAATGCTAAATTCCTGTGCATGAAAGCTTTCCTGTCACCACTGGTCCAAAAAAGTATATTTGACTGGTCAAGCCAATTAAAGACATAACAGAGACTTGTTTTGTTAAAATTGTTCACAAATGTTCTTTCTTAGCTCTTGCACTGCACACAATGTGTATGTCGCTAAAGACATAATCACGCATAATATATTTGTGTTCAGCCAAATATATTTTTGTATAATAACTCTCTATTGCCCCCTTATGGCCACAACAGGCATTACTCTGTATGGTTTCCTTCAAACAGAGACTTGAGATTTTTCTTCTTTGCTCTGATGTGTTTGCACTACCAGCAGAACTATTAAACACAACTCTCTCTCTCTCTCTCTCTCTCTCTCTCTCTCTCTCTCTCTCTCTCTCTCTCACTATTAGTATAGAAAATGCACTGAGGCAGGCACATAGCCTACATGTCCCATGAGGCCTTGCAAGCACACTGTCTCAGGCTAAGGCCAGCATTTATTTTGCTGAATGCTACTGTTTGTTCAGAACTGCAATCTTAGTCAGCTTGACCCGACAGCGGCCTCGTCCTAAACTGCCCTCTCCCTCTATCGTGCAGCTAAATGTGTAAACACAACATTTGCTTTCCCTTCCTTTCCTGACCCTCCAGCCACAGAGCTCCACTACTGCTTTTTGTCTAAGGTAAACAAAGTCTCTTCTCTTCTTGTCCTTTACTCTTATCTTTTCTCTTCTCTTCTCCCTTTCTCTCTTCTGTCTTTTTCTATTCTCTTCTCTTCTCCTCTACTTGCTCTTCTCTTCTCCTCTACTTGGTCATCTCTTCTCTTCTCTTCTCTTCTCTTCTCTTCT